ACATTCCCATCATCTGGCAATGGGCTGTTTCTCTATCAACACCATCATGGCAAGTTCACATGTGAGGTTTTTTTTCTTTATACTGTAAGTAAAAAATAATATTAGCATGTTATATCTCAAACTAACACGAGTTCATGCACTCTCATGTAATGCCATATTCCAATCAGGAGAGAGTATAAAATGAGATCATCACATCAGTAAACATGTAGGAAAAAATAATTTTTTAAGTGAATTTTTTACCCAGACAACTTAGTGACATGAACAGTCTAAATCACCAAACAATGACTAATAACTTAATGAATAAATTTTAAAGGTTGTGCTACTTCATTGCTATTCCCCACTTCTCCAAAAGATTAGAAAACACAAAGACTGTCCTCACTGAATGCAATGGGGAAACTTGGACAAAATGGGACATAAGATAAGCTATGATAAGACTAAGATCTTTCCATCATATCTTTTTATTTCTAGACAGATATTTCATTATAAAGAATCTTGCAGAATAATATTTACAAGAACTCTTTAAAGTTAAAGAAAATTAAAATAAGACATAATTTTGGAATTGCTCCTAGGCATTAAAAGTTTAAATCACAAAAAAGACTATTTGAACTAAAGAAATATTGAAGGCCAGTCGCTGTTAAACTAACAAAAAGAACAGCAGGATACATTTGATGACTCTTCATTCAGCTGTAGCTTCGGCTTTTCCTGTCTACAACTCTGTAACCACGAAGGCCTCCTAACAGAAAGGAACAATTCATTTCAAGAACTAAGAGTTCCTTACTTTCTTTTTTTCCCCTTAAAAAAACTGACTTCATTTTACTGGCCATATAGAACTAAGAAACTAAGGCAGCTCCAGGTGAAGATTCAGAAGCAGATGAGTGTGATTCTCAGGCTGAAGTAGCTGTTAATCTCATCTGCATAGACCTTCTTGAAGTTCCCTAGGAACCTTTCTGAACCCTCCCCTAAGCAGAAGCTCAAGTCTCCAAGTTTGATTAGGAAAATAAACCTTGCTCAAATTAAAGTATTTAGCAATAATCCAGGAAGAATTGTCAGTTTGTCACCCTCACTGTGAAGTAGACATTCTAAAAATAACCATCATTTAATCTCCATGATTAGATGTTCTAATACAAATGTTTGTATCCTAGTAGTATGTAAATATCTCCCTTTCCCTCTCTAGCTCTCCCCCTCCATTCCTTCGCGTGTGTGTGTGTGTGTGTGTGTGTGTGTGTGTGTGTGTGTGTGCGCGCGCACATGCTCACCAGCGAGCCCGTGTTGGAGTGACGGGTGAGGGCAATTTTTAGGAGATGCAGCCATACATGCTATTTTGATAACCTAGAATCCAGCTGAAGGCTTTGTGTTTACCAGCATTTACTGATAGATTATAATTATAATTATAATTATAATTAATAGCTTGATTGTGAGAGCTAATGACTCTTAAGCTAAAAGCTAACAATGTTAGTATCCAATTACTAATGCAAACTGTTTTAAGACACCTTGAGTCTTTCAAACAAATGGCACCATAAAAAGTGGTTTTCTCTTGTGTTCATTTTACTCCCCACCTCTCAGAGGGTGCCACCAGGTTATGGACAGCCACCAGTCAGAATGAAGAAGGTGGGGTAAGTAAAGCTACAGTCTCCATTAGGAATCACAGTCCTTTAGTCTCTGTCTTTTTATCCCCGTCGAATAAGAAAAGAATATCCAACACAGGAACCTGCAGCTCAAGTGCCCATGATATAAGGAAAAAAGTGAAACGAATTAAACCTGTATCCAAAATAAAATGAATGTAATATATCATTTCTCCTCTGCATGTATTGAAATCACTCTTGATCGCTTTCTGCACCTTCCTTTCTTTCTCTCCCTCCATCTTTCCCTGCCTCTTTCTCCCTCTGCCCCCTACCCCCCTTAAAAAAGGCAAATCTAATAAACCTTGCTCCAGGTTAGTGCTGGACTCCAGACAGGGATGAAGCAATTAGCAAATAGAAAAGGAAATAAAAGCATCTTAGAATGTTATCCCCAGAGGAGAATTAAGTAACCATCTAGCTCCATCCTTGTACAAATAACCTGAAGCCCAGAGAAGATAAATTATTATTCAGTGTCACCCACTGAGTTAGTGGTAAACTGGACCAGAATCCTAGTCTTCTGACACCCTATCCAGTAGTTTTTTTACTACCCCACACTAGGAGAAGATCTAAACGCATGTCACAGAGTGATATACTGTTAAAATATTCTAACACTGTGTCATCATAAAAGTCATTGTGGTGATCACAGCACAGCACTCCACCCCTGGAACTTACTTTCATTTCCTCTTTAAATATCTGATAAATCTTCAGTGAAATGTAAAAAGCTGGTAGCTCTGGAGGACCAGAGGGGGACAGAGCAGGGAGTAGGGAGGGAGTTAAAATAAGATCTGATAAATCTTCAGTGAAATGTAAAAAGCTGGTAGCTCTGGAGGACCAGAGGGGGACAGAGCAGGGAGTAGGGAGGGAGTTAAAATAAGGACATTGAAAATTACTATGTCAATAATGACATAGGTACCTTCAAAAATACATTGTGAATAGTCCCAAATAAAAATGATTCAGATAATTGCCTGCAACTCAGAAACTAGCATTTCAAATGTTCACAAACATAACATGAGAAAGTGAAACAAAATGACCTAGGCAGTTCACACAAGCATCAGAATTCTGCTTTCTACCTCCTGGGGACACTTCCTACATGATAGGAGACATCTCCTCATCTATCTATCTCATCATCTCCAGCCACAAATGAGGATAAAATCCTTATTTTCTAGGTTGCATTTGTTTTAAAAGAAAAACTAAATGACCTAAATGGCACATAAATGTGACTGACTGACAGAGCTCATAAAGGTTAAATCATTCATTAAACAAACATTTATTGAACACTTCCCACTGTGCTAGGTACTGGGAAAACAAAGATGAGAAGAACATTTTCACTCAAAAAACTCATATGGGAGAATCAAGTAGAAGAATCCCATGAAAATAGGATAATTGAAATTCAGTGGGATAATTGCTCTAGTAGAAACATGTACTGCTGTGATCACCAGGGAGTAAAACCTAACTCGGCCTCTGGAAGTCAGGACAGAGAAAGAAGCATTCAAGCTGAGTCTTAAAGTTGGGCCAAGTTTGCCAGGAGGGGTAAATGTGTAGGTGAGAAGTTTTGGCATGAAGAGGCTGTGTGCAAAGGCACTGAAACAGAATAAAGTACTCAGAGAACTAGTAATAGTTGTGAGTTTTAACAATTTTTATCTTATGGTAGGAACACCTAACATAAGATCTACCCTCATAAGAAATGTTGAAGTGTACAGTAGAGCACCAGTGGTTGTTGGTACAATGCTGTGCGGCAGATCTCTAATGCCTTTTCATCTCGCTTAATTGAAACTCTCTGCTCATCATTGATTAGCAACTCCCCTTTTTCCCTTCCCTCCAGCCCATGGCAATCACCATTCCATTCTTTGATTCTATGAATTTGACTCTTTTAGATGCATCATATAAGTGGAATCCTGTAGCATTTTTCTCTCTCTGATTTAGTTCACTTAGCATAATGTCCTCAAGCTTCCTCCATATTGTCATGTATTGCAGAGTTTCCTTCCTTTTTAAGGCTGAATAGTATTCCGTGATATGTCTATACCACATTTTGCTTATCCGTGATATTTCTATGCCACATTTTCCTTATCCGTGATATGTCTATACCACAGTTTCCTTACCCAAATACACTATATTCCACTCTATATAGTGCTGTGAGTGGTAGCTGTGATTTGGAACTGCATAAAGTACAAGGGGGAAGAAATGAGACTGGGTGTAATAGTTACGGATCACAAATGACTATAAAAAGTATTATTATTATTATTATTATTACCATTATTACTATATAACATATAACACTTGTTTGGTACTTACTGAATACCAGGCACCAAACTTTACATATGTTATCTAGTTTGACCCTTAAGACAACCTATGAGGTAGATAGTATTTTATTATCTCTATTTTACAAATGCGTAAACTTAGATTAGCCCAGAGTCATATTAATACTGATGGGACAGGGATTTTAATCCATATCTGTCTAGAGCCCCCCACTCTTTAGCACCATGCTGCTCTGCTTTTTATGTTACACTATGGGATTTAAAGTTTATCCTGTAAAGGAAGAGTAACTTTCAATAATATTTAAAGAGTAAAGTGACAGAACTTTCCTGTACACTTACCCCAAACCTCTACTACTCTGAAAGCTGTGACAAGCAAGATTAAAGGAAAGTAAAACTACATCCAGAGCAAGCAGTAAAAAAGGTATTGCACTGGGATTAAAGAGAGGAGGACAAGGATGAAAGTTTAGGCTTTATAGGACTCAGTCATTAATTGTTTGGGGAAATAGAAGAAAGGATAGAAACTTGGGAAACTGGATAGTTAGTGATAAAAGTTGATTACGCATGGACTATTGGAGAATGAAGTTTGGAGGTAGAGAGCTCCACTTCCAAGCACATTCAGTTGGAGGTGCTCTTGAGATCTTTGGTGGAGTAGTCTTGCGTCTCAGACTCAGAAGACAGTGTCACGGGCCAGAGTAATTAGAAGTAATTGCCATGTATCCATATTGAAAGAATTGGCCTGCAGTGGATCGCTCAAGGCAAGTGTGTGAGAACAACAGAATAAAGAGAATGGAAGATGAAATCATTTAAAAAATTAATTATTTTAGAAACTTAGATTTCGGATCTAGGCCTAGGAAGTTAAAGTTGAGACATAATGGTCAGAAAGTTAAAGTACCAGAAGAGAGAACTAGAGGGAATAGAAGCCAAGGAGGGGTTAACTTTCAAGAAAGCAAGCATAGCCAATGATATTAAAAGAAGCATGTGGCTAGTAAGATTTCTCTCTCATGTTAAAAAATTACAAGCAATACCATTGTGGAAAACAAAGAGCAGTTATTGATTTCCATCTTCTTTCTTACAGAATCCTTACTTTGGATACTTTGGATATCAGAGATTTGAAATTTGTCCTCCTTATTATTCAGAAGAGATGCTTGAACAAGATTTTTTAAATCCCAAAGAAAAATATCCTCCTAAAGCAGAGAGTCCAGTCCCTGAACCCTCAAGGAATTCAACAGGTCCTGAGACTAATTTTACCCAGATAAATGCACCCAGTCCAAGCAAGAGTCAGAGTGGAAATGATACCAGCCCAACTGGAAACACTGTGAGCAATCCTACAGCTCAAAATGGGACCATCCCTGCAGTTACCATTTTCAGGCCTGGGAGTGCCAAGAAGTAGAATTCCATGGGGATCAAGTCAGCCAAATATTCATGAAAATTATCCAAATCCTAACATCCAGAGTTTTCCTGCAGGAAGACAATGGTGGTCCTATTGGTACCACCATGAGGCACAGACAGAATGGGCCTTTTTACCAAAACCAGCAAGTTCAAAGGGTTTCTCAGCAGAACTCTTTTGCTTGGGAAGGCAAACAAGCAGTTCATTCAGGAAATCCAATTTATCACAAAACTTATACTTCCACTGTAAGAGACAATTCTCCCAATCATGCAAAAAATCCAGCAGATCCAGCCTCAAATAATTCCTCTGTGGAAACCAATTGTCCCTCCGGGTCCCCAACATGGTACTGTTGACCACAAAGAAAACATCCAAAATCCAGGACAGAAGCCACTTGGTCAAAAAGAAAGAATGGTCATTTCCACAGAGATCCAACTGGCTGCTAGAGAAACTCTCAAGACTATGGAATTAATAAACCAAACTATAAACTGCCTCACCCTAAGGGTAACATGCTAGTCCCTAATTTTAATTCTGCTGCTGATCAAAGCAAAAACTCTTATTAGCCAAGAGGAGATTCCAGAAAAGCCCCAAATTCTGATGAACAAGCTGAAAGCCAGATTTTGCCCAAAGGAATTATCTTAGAGCCAAGAAGAATCCTGTATAAATCAGAAATTAATCATCCAAAATTTAACCATAATACATACCAGCCTGTATACCCTGAGGAAATCCCTTCCCCTGCAAGAGAACATTTTCTTGTTGGAAGAAACATTGGAACCACCAAGAAACCTCTCCACCTTATAACGAAGATCCTGGAATGCAGGAAGAACACCTACCTCATCCTTCCCGTGGCTTTAGAGGAAGTGTTTACTACTGTGACTTTAACCTCTATGATCCCAAGGAAAATTCACCATACCTTAGCAGCAATTCATGAGATGAGAAAGATGATTCTCCCAGTACTAATACCAAAAATCCAATGTACCCCACGAATACTCCATATCCAAAAGAGACAGTCCCTTCTAATGAAGAGGACCCAATTGATCCAACTGGAGATGAACCTTTCCCAGGGCAAAGTAGATGGAGTACAAAGGAGTCAAGCTTTCCAGAAGATCCAACAGTTAGGCATATGAAGGTGAGCAATATACCTCAAATCAACCAAAGGAATACCTTCCCTATTCCTTAAATAACCCATCAAAACCCAGGGAATATTTCCCTTATGGTGGATTTTACCCCTGGAACCCAGATGAGAAATTTCTATCATATAATACAGTTCCCACCTGTAACACCACATGTGGAGAGCAGGGGCTCTTATGCTGATAATGCTTTTGGACAAGAAGGAAGCACTCTGATTCCTTTTCTGAACTTCTGGGACCACAGCATTCAAGCCCAAGGGCAGAAAGAAAGAAGGCTATATTTGAACAGAAATTTCTGGGATCAACCAACATATTTACACAAACACCCTGCTAGTCCACCACACCAGAAAGAGAACCAGCCTTATTTCAGTAACTCCCAAGCTGAACTTCAGAAAAATCCAACATGGCATGAAGGTAACAATTTGAATTATGGCATACAAATTACTAGGTTAAATTCACCAGAGGGAAAACATCTGGCTTTCCAAGACTTAATTCCTCTAAGTTACCCAGTAGGTCAAAAAGAAGCACATTTATCTCACCTAAGCTACAGAGGTCGTTGCTATGCTGGTGGTTCCACTACAACACCACTTGCCCAGCGACAATCCACTTGCTTCACAAGACCACACTTCATCTTTTGCTCTTGCACCAGGGGAGAACCAAGACACCAGCCCTCTGTACACTGAAGATACCCAGACTAAGAATGCAAGACATACCATCTCCCTCAAAGCATCCTACCTGGCCAAAGGAACAGCTCAGAGAAAAGGCTGCCCAGGGAAAGCCAAAACCCAAGTCTTTTTGGAGATGATGTATCCACTCTGAGGAGGAGCACACCATGCTCTGTAAAGAGCCAACTGGGCCAAAAGGGAATTATGCCCTTTCCCCAAGCCAGCTCCCTTCAATCAAAGAATATATACCTTGCCTCAACAGTGATCTTTGAGGAGACAGGAACAATGTTTTGGAACAAATATTTGAAGGCATCCAGCTCAATGAAGGAACTGTTGGCCCTACTCCTGAGCAGCTTGTTATCAGTACACCTGATGAAGGCCCCAAGCCAGAAGAAATCCAAAGTGAAGTGCAAGGAAATGAGGTGAAAGGCAACAAAGACCATCTAGCATCCTACAGTCACCTTGCTTTGGCTCCAAATTGGGAAAGTATCACTCCTCCAGCACTGGAACTCCATCTAGTGTTGGAAGGCTAGGCCCATTTGAAGGGGATCCAATTATGCCTACTGAAATTCCTAACTCATTGGCTGGGTTAACTACTGGGGCACAATTTCAGAGTATAAATGTAGACTTACTTAATGCAGATGAAAACACTGCTTTTGATCCCCTTCAAATGGGGACCAATCCACAGGACCAGACACAAGAATGCTTACTACTTCAGGTGTAGGGACTTTGTCAACCAAGCATTCTTTGGGGAAGAAAAATACCTGATACTCTACAGTGGTTCCCAAACTTTCCTATCCCCAAGACTTGACTAAGAATGTGACCCCCTTGGTGATCCCTAACTTTTCCCCCATTCCAGCAAGAGAAGGCGGCCCAGGTGATACTGACGAGGTTGCGTCTCTGAGACTCACTGTCACTAATTAGCTCAGACCTAAAATTTTTTTAAAATCAGGGAGACCATGACCATGCAGTGCCTTGCAACATGGAAACCACTTGTCTGGGTTAGTTTCCCTTTGCCCTTTGCTTGCTGATCTTCCTTCTCTCAGAGTTCCACAAATGCAAAATCCTCTGCATTTGCCAGACAGAAAGGTAGATGAACTTTCTATTTTATGTATGGAGATCTCTACATCTGTATAATCCTAATGATTATACATTTTTTTCTTGTGTTGGTTTTGTCAGTTTCTTTTTCCCTAGTTAAATTCTCTTGGCATTTTTTTTCTTCTACTACCTCTTTCTTTACCTTCATTGTTTCATTTGTTATTTCTTCCTTCCTTCCTTTTCTTCCTGTCAACCATTCTATATTTAGCTTTCTTTTTTTCTTTCCCAGCTATCACTTCTTAAGTCCTAAGCTATCTTTAACCATCACTAGTCTTTACATCTACCTTCTCCATTCTGTCATCCTCTCCTCCCACATTTCTTTTCTGTCTCCTAATGTACCACTTGTCGATCAACCCCTTTCTTCTCTGATTTCTTTCTTCTCTTCAATTAATCTTTTCTCTTCTCCACCATTTTCCTATCTTAAGATTGCATGTCTCTCTCCCATTTTGTATCTTTACTCTCCAAATTCTATCCTAAATTTTTCTTGACCCAGTCTAACCATATTGTAGAATACATTCCAGAAATAGTAAACAATGATACCTACTTTTGTTTTTAATTTTCTTATGGCCTTTATCAGGTAGACACAGGTCAGCAGAGAAACACATTCAAGGACAAATATGGTTTACCCAGAGCTAGGCACCCGGGGACAAGGCTTAGGAACAAGGCAGGAAGAACTGCCACTCTGGGACTGAGCATCCAGATGGAAAGGGTAGTGCCTGCTACATCCCGTCATTAACTGTAGGATCTGGAGAGGAAACATTTTAGGAAACTGTCCTGTCAAATAAGAGAATGTTTAGTATTCTTTAATAGTACAGTACTGGCAATTCTAATATATGCTGCTACTAACCTAACATAACATTCTTCACGTCCTGATAGACACGCTCTTTTGTATCTTGTTTAAATAGTGTAAATTATTTTGTAAAGTAGATATTTCTATATTGCCTTGCTTAGGATATATCTAAGTGTTTTGTTCTGCTTGTTTTTATTAATGGCATTTTAGCCTACTATCTGTATATTCCTTCACAAGGGGAAGAATTTTCTAAATTATCTAGAACATTACCTTCTAACTCTAAAGAGAGTCTCAGGAGAAAATTTCCTGGGACAGATTTCATAAGAAGATCTCAGAAATTTGGAAAAATAACAGTGTCAAAAACTTCCTGAGGAAAGGAATCTTGTCCATTGAATTTTCTGAAGTTCCTGGAACATTGTTTTGCACATAATAAATAAACAATAAATATCTACTTATTGCCTAATTTCAAAGCTCCCATGAAAATCCCACAGTGTGTTTTTCCTGTGGGTGAACCATCTGGGATCCTGAACGAGCTCCCCACTCTGTAGGTTTATATATCCAGCAGTATTTGCTTCACAGACTCTCAGGGTAAGAAGAGATCTTAGAGAAAGGTTATCTAGGCCACCCACTAGTTGCTAAAATCCCCCCCAAACATAAACATGAGCAACTTCTTCATGAACATATCTCTCCAGGCAAGGGAAACAAAAGCAAAAATGAACAAGTGGGACTATATCAAACTACATAGCTTCTGTATAGCAAAGGACACCATCAGTAGAACAAAAAGATGTCATACAGTATGGGAGAATATATTCATAAATCACATATCCAATAAGGTGTTGACATCCAAATTATAGAAAGAGCTCACGCACCTCAACAAACAAAAAGCAAATAAGCCCATTAAAAAATGGGCAGAGGAGCTGAACAGACACTTCTCCAAAGAAAAAATTCAGATGGCCAACAAACACATGAAAAGATGTTCCACATTGCTAATCATCAGAGAAATGCAAATTAAAACCACAATGAGATACCACCTCACACCAGTTAGGATGGCTACCATCGAAAACACAAGCAACAAATGTTGGTGAGTATGTGGAGAAAGGGGAACCCTCCTACACTGTTGGTGGGAATGTAAACTAGTTCAACCATTGTGAAAAGCAGTATAGAGGTTCCTCAAAAAAACTCAAAATAGAAATACCATTTGACCCAGCAATTCCACTACTAGGAATTTATCCTAAGAATGTAGGATTCCAGTTTCAAAAAGACATATGCACCCCTATGTTTATCACAGCACTATTTACAATAGCCAAGAAATGGAAGCAACCTAAGTGTCCATCAGTAGATGAATGGATAAAGAAGATGTGGTACATATATACACAGTGGAATATTATTTAGACATAAGAAGAAAACAAATCCTACCATTTGCAACAACATGGATGGAGCTAGAGGGTATTATGCTCAGTGAAAGCCAGGCGGAGAAAGACAAGTGTCAAATGATTTCACTCATCTGTGGAGTTTAAGAACAAAGAAAAAACTGAAGGAACAAAACAGCAGCAGACTCACAGAACCCAAGAATGGATTAACAGTTACCAAAGGGAAAGGGACTGGGGAGGATGGGTGGGAAGGGAGGGATAAGGGGGAAAAGGGGGCATTATGATTCACACACATAATGTAGGGGTTAGGGGGCATAGAGAAGACAGTATAACACAGAGAAGACAAGTAGTGATTCTATAGCATCTTACTATGCTGATGGACATCTTACTACGCTGATGTACATTACGCTTACATACGCATAATGGGGTATGTGATGGGGACTTGATAATAGGGGGAGTCTAGTAACCATAATGTTGCTCATGTAATTGTACATTAATAATAACAAAAGAAAAAAAGAAAAAAGAAAAAATAAATTCCCCCCAATACCACTTTTATATTGTAATCACACACTAAATAATCATTGACTATTCTATATAAAACTATCTCTTAAGAGTTATCCTTATTAAAGTAAAACTATGCTGTTTCATGACTTTTTTCCAAATGATTTTTTAATCTAGATATGAAATATTTTCAATACAAAAAAAGAATTCACTTACATATTTTATCAAAATGCATGGATCATATATTTATTTCAACAGACATGTTCATACATTTTCATCTATGAGGCACACACCTGAAATTATTATCTGGGCCCTCTCTAATATACACTATAAAAGAACAGTGGGACAAAAAACATCTATTGAATTTGAGGATACAGAGTGAAAAAATAGAAGGAAAAATATCCCTATAGAAAATGACTCTTCATCTCACTCACACAGGTATCCTTCTGCAAGCCTGGATACCAAGCCTGAGTTCCTTACAGTAAATAAATTACTCTTTGTGCCATTGCTAATTTACTGCTAAAGCTTTAAATCAGCTCTAAGGTTAAGGTGCACATAGTGGAGGTGGCAGGCTCTGAAAGCAGTCCCCTCCTGTCTCAGGCACCCTGATCCCACTGCCACAGCCCCAGTTCTAGGGCGAGTGCCTACATTCAGTGGCCATTACTTGCTGGGTCTAAAATGACTCGATGTGTCTTGGTGGTGTCTTTAGTTGATAAAGCAATAAATCAAGAATAAGAAAATAATAGCTGAGGATGACAAACCTTACAGAAGATAATCCAGCAAGAATAACACACCTGCTCTATAAGCTTTTCCATCTCACAGCCTAGAATAGATTTCTCTAGAGGATAGTTGGACATAGATCTGGCTGCCTGGGGGAAATCTCGTACTCTTCACTTTAAGCAGGCAGCAAAGGAGGAGGATGAAACATGGGGTCCAGCCACCTCTGAAACCTCAGCCTCCTCGTAGTCATTATTAGCATAGAGATTCTCCCCTGGCTCTTTCGATTCTCTAAACATGCTTTACATTAGTCACTCACATCAAAGTCTTTAATTTTTACATTTTCAAAAAAAATTCACAAGACATAACCTTCCAGGTACTTTTATTACTTCTTTCGACATATCTCTGCCCTCACCCCACTCTCCTAGTCATGAACGTAGGACCCTAAAGACTCATCTCACCCTCAGGAAACCAAACTTCACTTCTAAAAGCCAAAAAGGGAACTAGAAATGTTGGACTTCAGATCAACAACAACTCTGTCCCTCCTTCACAAAACCTCAGAGATTTCACTGTGCCTGAGGCCAACTGCCCAATTAAAACTCAAAAGGAAACTGCACTTGATGGAAATAGGTTATCACCATTTCACAACTGAATAGAGCTTTGGGGTTTGGCCACCTGTTCTTCCTTGCCTCTGTACCTCACCAATAACCCAGTAACATCAGACACTGGGCCTTTTTCTCTCCCTTTAAATTCACAGCCAATAAAGCTTAGCAAGAAACAGGATTCAACTGTGAGCAAACAAACTCCACGCTGGCAGAGGAAAATGTTTCCCATACAAAAGGGGAAAGCTGAGCTGTGATTCAGCACAGACATAATCATGAAGTCACTGAGGCTGCCCTCCGTGCCCCATTGTCTCCTGGGTCAAATTATGTCCTTCCCTGGGTCAAGGTCATCTGCTGTCTTAGGGCCCTTCCATCTGCCTGAGCACCCAGCACCCGCCATATCTGTGCTTCATCAGGACAGTAATTTTCTCCGGGCTTATCAAATAGCCAGGCCTTGTTCCCTGCTACACTGCACAAAACAGGTATTTGCTGTGATTAATCTGGTAGAATGATTCTTTTTCAAGTGTTGGCTAATATGTAGTCCTCTCAAATTACCCATCACGCCCTTACAGAGTGAGTCTAATCATGGCATACTTACAGAAGGATAATGGTAGGGATTTGTTTCTGTAGAACCTTGTCAGTCCTTCAGCTGTTAAACCACACTGGCAGCTGCCTGCTTTACCTAGGATTCAGGCTGTTTGGGACAGTGGTGCATGCTACACAAGCATTTCT